GGCCAGCCGCCAGCAGTTCGGTAAGCGCGTCCCGGCCCCAACTCTCGCCCGCGGAGCCGGGGGCTGCTCCTCTTCCCAGGACAAGTGCATGCAAGCAGCCGCTGCTGAGCCACCCAGAGCCTCCCAGCACACATCTTGCGGGAGGAATCTGTTTTCCCACAGTTCTCTTTGGTCCTAATTAGAAGTTGTGTGAATTTTCTTTCTTTCTCTCTCCCTTCCTTCTTACCCGTTCCCCACCCAGTAGAGATAAAGTGGTTTGTGTAGGTGCATTTTCAGATGAGAGAGGTTTGGGATTGTTTTCTCTGTCTTGGTTAAAGTAGTGTGGCTTTAGAGTTAAATGATGTAAATGCATCCTGTGCCACAGAGAAAATCTTTGCTCGAGACATTCTTGGAATAACTGTAATTCCTGTTTCCTTGTAGAGAAAGACTTGTCAAAGGTTAGTTAAAGTGAAAAGTAGTCTTGCAAATGAGATTGCTAGGAAGATGAAAATATAGAATCCCACTGGTTTTAGCTGAACAGCTGCATCTTAGTCAAGTTGGGTTCATTGAGGATAGCAATAATAATGAACTTTTCAGTTTAGTAGTTTCTGGATGTAGGGTGATTAACTGTGATGCCAGAAGTTTCAGAAACAGCCATATGTATGCACTGATAAAATAGATATATTTTTACTCAGAAAAGCAGCAAGTAAAAATGTTTCTGAATTCTGTTTTTTAAATATTGACTCTAGTCTAGACTATATTTGCTTTAGCAGTTGTTTAATTCAAGGATCATTCCACTGACTTAAGTGAAGTGACTCGAGATTTATACCATGTAAGTGAAATGAAAACTTCTCCCAGAATCAATAGGTGGTATTTTCTATTAATACACTGTTTTCAATGTTAACCGATTGATTTACATTATGCAAACAACAAGAAATGCAGGTTTTGACATACTTAGTTGTAAATACAAACCCATTTCAGTTACCATTTCATCTTCTTTACTACCCCACCCATTTGATACTTCTAACTACACTTGTGACATCATGCTTATCTAATTACTTATTTAAGAAAGCAAATTAATATTTCAACCATCAAATTTATTCTACCATTGTTTTCAGTAGCTGTAGGATTAAAGTATAGCATAATATCCATTACTGTAAAAAGTCTATCATCTCATGAAAAAGTATAACAAATGTGCAAATCATTCTTAAAAGCTATTGAAATATTCGATTAATTTTCAATTACATCTTGCTTTCTACCTTTCTACCATGTATATTTAAATTTTTGCAGCCCAGGGAATTCTTGAAACTCAGAGCCACATGCTTAACTTAGAAAAAATACTTTTTGGATATGTATATAACGTTCAGGTATTTCATTAAGTTCTTACAGTTAAGTATGTAGACTGATAGAGCTTGTAGGCAGAGGAAAAGTTACATTAATATTATCAAAAGAAATTAATAGACAGGCCTGATCTTTTCTGTGCTGGAACACTATGTCCTACTTTGCTCTTTTTTGTATTGTTGTAGATATTTTTAAAATCATCCCACTAAAAAGCAAAGGTATAGTGGGGGCACATCTATCTGCCCAGCTTTTACCTGGATGAAGCCATTTTAGTAATGCATAAAGGGGGGTAGATTTGCTTTTCTCATCCAGAATGATCTGATAATCATTTGTGAGAGAAGCAGAACTGTTACATAATTGTCTTTATGCACAATGTCATTCCAGTAATATACTACTGCTCTTCCTCTGTTGCAGGGAATAAAGGTTAAGCTCTGATTGTTGTACTGTGGGAGGTTTAAACTCAGTAATGTTACTTATTGGTAAAACTGGATTTCCAATTAGGTGTTCTCATTTACACTTTGATGCATGCTTTGAAGGGCTAATGATACTCTATATGTGGCTACTGTATCCACATGACCACTGAGGTTGCAACACTTGCTCAGTTTTCTCGTTATCCACTTTAAGTATAGGATTCATGTTAAGGTAGAAGAGAATTATGTTTTCATGTTTTTCTTACACATTCCTAAAAAGTAGTGACCCCTCCTGCAAACTACCCATTGCCTTGATTCATAGCATCTTAAATGCAAAGCCTAGTGGTTATCAATTATATACTTAGTAGTTTTTTCAGCTTTGAACTCACATGTGACTGCCTACTGTCACATGAGGAAAAGACACTTGGTATATAATTATTCTAAATTTTCCTGATAGACTTCTTCCCACAAAGTACTGAAAATGCCATTGAAATTGTGGAGTGTTATAACCTCCAATTAAACTCAGTTCTTTCAAGAGATACCTCCAGGCAATTATAGGATCAGACCATAAGAAATGAGTTAATTGAGTGTACGAAGTATTCTAGGAAACAGTGTGAAAAGCAGATTATATATCTCTAAGTAACGTGTATTTCAGAATCTGATTTATCTAACTAACACAGTTTCATAAACTCAAAGCTGAAACCTTCTGAAAACTGCTATCGCCACAGACATATAAACTCAGAAACTACACACAGAGGGATGAGATAGTCAAGCAGTTACTAATGGCTATTACTATTAGGACAGGAATAGTATTTTCCTCCCAAACACTGTGTATGGAAAAGTACTAACATAACAAGCATGCCTTAGTATAGGACTACTACACATTTATGCCTGCAGGTGGCGAGCGATATATACAATGATAAGCGCTTTCAGTCTGTCAATCCTGCAATTACCGCCTCATGTCAGGTTTGGGTTCTTTTTTTTTAATTACTACCTTACTAAATATTACATAGAGTCCAAGGTATTACTGCTTATGTGCTTGTTGCTATTTATTTGATTTACAGATGAAATTCCTACAGTGGTTGGGATCTTTAGTGCATTTGGCCTTGTCTTCTCTGTCTCTCTTTTTGCTTGGATCTGCTGCCAGCGTAAATCTTCCAAATCCAATAAGACCCCTCCGTATAAGTTTGTCCATGTTCTGAAGGGGGTTGATATTTACCCTGAAAATCTCAACAGTAAGAAGAAGTTTGGAGCAGATGACAAAAGCGAATCAAAGAACAAGTCATCGATGCCAAAGAATTCTCTCCATCTTGACCTGGAGAAGAGAGATCTAAATGGTAACTTCCCCAAAGCAACCCCTAAAATCCAGAGCTCTTCAGATCTTGAAAATTTGTCTCCTAAGCACTTTGCAGAAAGGAAGAAAGATTCAGTATCCCCTGACAGTTTGAAGTCCATCACTTCCCTGTCTTCTGAAGATAAACAAGATAAGCTAGGAACTCTGTTTTTCTCCTTAGAGTACAACTTTGAGAAAAAGGCATTTGTAGTGAATATCAAAGAAGCACGTGGGCTGCCAGCAATGGATGAACAGTCAATGACTTCTGATCCCTACATCAAAATGACCATCCTGCCCGAGAAAAAGCATAAGGTGAAAACCCGAGTGCTGAGAAAAACTTTAGATCCAGCTTTCGATGAAACCTTCACATTTTATGGGATCCCCTATAGCCAAATTCAAGACTTAACACTTCACTTTATGATCTTGAGCTTTGACAGGTTTTCCAGAGATGATGTCATTGGAGAAGTCCTCATTCCCCTCTCAGGAATTGAGCTGTCAGAAGGAAGACTGCTAATGGACAGAGAGATCATCAAAAGAAATGTTAGGGTAACATATTTCTTATTTAAACGTTAAAAGCATTTTACTAGTGTTAGCTATGATTCTTATGTAATGCTGCTACCATTTTGGAAAGAAAAGGGAACAAGCCCATCATGCAAGTCACTGAGATGCTTTCATAATGACAATGTGAGGAAGCAATTATACAAATCTAATAAAATAACATTACAATGAGCATGTTGCAAGAAATTGTTAATGTCCCAAACTCTACATGCTTATTCAGCTGGTTCCAGCAGGTCTGAGTGGACACATTTACATTAGGTCAAGAGGCCTCAATCCATGTTAATTTGCTTTAAGATAAAAGAATGCAAACATATATGTATCATTCTGTTTCTCCTCCATCTCCTTTGTTTGTTTGATAACATTCTTCCTTAAAGGTTAATGAAGTCAGTGTAAACCTTTTGTGTCAACTACATGGATTTTATAGCAGATTCTTAAAGAATGCAGTCTTCACTTAAGGAATTGGAACCTGTTAGAAACCACAGTGTTGGTGCAGTAGTATGTTCTTGTACTTCAGTGCTGTTACTACCTTCTCTCTTAGGAACAGTGGCACAAGCTGCGGGCCTATTAAGGATAGTAAGACACAAGGGAGAAGCCAAAGACTTACTGAAGTCAATGGCAAAGCATACTGACTTCACTGGGATAAAAATATTTCATACGTTATAGTATGAGTTCAGAATGTAAAGATCATTACAACCATCACAGCTGAACCACAGAAATGCACATGCATCACACCTTTGTCTCCTAACCTCTACTAAGAAAGTGGAATGTGTATTGACTTTCAATTTCATTGTTTTCAGAGAGCAAGCATACTGCCAAATCAAATAAATGTCTACCAGACATCATACGTATAACTAATATTGTTATTTTGCAATTCTGTCACTATACTAGAACTATGTCATTGATATTTTGTTGATAACCCATTAGGTTTTCTGGTATATAAGGTATCATTTTTGTTTGTTTCCTTTACCTTCCTTCTTTTTCTGAAGCAAAATACTCCTACAAATTAAAATGTAGTAATCATAGAGAAAGTCTTCAATCTCATCTTTATTTCTTGTATATGATGCTACTTCAGAAAGTGTCAGGGATGAGATTTCATTAACCATTTGAATCCTTTCTGTTTAAAAAACTTTAGTGAAGATTTTTTTTTATTTACCTTTACTGGATTTTTTTTTTCAATATATCTTTATGGAATTTTGATTTGCTTAATATCTTTTATGTTCACTAAGAATTTTTTTTCTTATGATATAGGATTTCGTTTCTCATCTCTGAAGACAATGATGTTATGTCAACCTATATTTATTAATTCATTTTTATTCAGTCTAATAACCAATCATAGGAAGAGTTATATAGCTACAGTTGAGGGAAATTATATTTACTATGTAAAGCAGCATGGCTCCATAAATTGTATCCTTTTACACCATCAGAGAATACAGTTGTGTGACATTTCATAATTTGTAATTCTGGTTTAAAGCTTGGTCAGTATGAATTGCTTATAAATAGTCTTATTTCTTTTTTTTTTTTTTCCTTTAATTTCTTCAGAAATCATCTGGGCGTGGAGAATTACTGGTCTCTCTCTGTTATCAGTCTACAACAAACACGCTTACTGTGGTTGTTTTAAAAGCCAGGCATCTACCTAAATCTGATGTGTCAGGATTATCAGGTAATGGTTTTACTCCTGAATATGCCCTAAGAATCTAAACCAAACAGACAGAAGTCAGCTGAAATGTGGCATTTCAAAGACGAAAAATACCCCATAAATTCAGAAATATTCTCTATTATTTGCAGTCTATTAATTTTATTATATCTAGGTCAATGCTTTATTTTCCAGGGTATGTATTTTACAAATTTGTTCTTCAATCACATTAAAAAAACATGACATCTGGTAGCAGTGGAAACGGATGAGTTTTGTGCTTGTCTTGAACAAAACCCATCTGCCATAAGCATGGGATGGTGTTCGCAGATATAAAAGGCTTTTATTTATGAAAAAAAGAAAGAAAGGTTTATTTGTAGAAGATCAGTATTGAGTGAGATCATCATATGGGTTATTTCAACTTAGCACCAAGAAAAACAACCAGTTACATCTGTGCTGAATCTGGCCCTCTGAGCACTAGCACATCTTTACATCATGAAAAGGTGGACTATGCCACTGCTGGAAGTAGGTTGTACTTTAACACCCATGCTTTATCATGAGCTGTAATCAGGGTGCACTAAGGAGCAGTTTCTGCACTCTCTTGTCCTGGCCTGGTGCTATTCCATGGAGCCTCCTTTGAGGTCAATGCTAGAATTGCACTTAGACGCACATTAATGCCAGATAACATAATAACATAATAAAATTAAATGTAAAATACACTAAAAGATAAGAAAACCACACCAAACAAACAGTATACCACAGAAGACTATACAAGTAGTAGCACATTTCCTGTTGATTCTGTATGGGACCAATTTCATTGCAGAAGGGTTTTTTTGAAAGAAGCCGAATAGGAAGCAGTTTTGGGAACCACTGGATCATAATTACTAAAGCCAATAATATGTTCCTTCTACTTCTCATACCAAGAAATACTGCATTTACCTAGAAAGTTAACACATCCTGGTTCCAATATAACAAAGCTATAGACAACTCCCTTTTACACAGGGAAGTTTCATTGAAATCCTCCCGATCTCAATTTTATTCACATATCATAATGAGAAAGGATATAAATAGAGCCCAGCAGTTTACTCCACTAAAAGACAGCATACATACTTCTAATATTCAACCCCAAAACAGCAGATAGTGGGAGTTTCATGAACACAGCATGACAGCAAGCTGGCCTCAACAGACGAAGTCTGGCTGAGGTTCACCCAGGTAAGAAAATAACATGAAAAGGAAAGCTCTTCTAGTCTCAGCAGCCCCCTGGATCCTACAGCACAACCAAACTACATGTCTGTTTACTGTACCTCTTCTGAGAAAAGCTATAAATTTTGTTTGCTCTTTCTGCTTTCCTCAGTACAACCTTGATAACTGTAATAGGAACATAATACTTCTAAGAGATACAGGCAGCCATGCTACACCTAGACACGAAGTTAATTTAAGCAGTTCATCATTTGCTGTTTATCAGCAAGGGTAGGTTCAATAGATATTTGGGTGTCAGTAACATACTTCACTCACGAAAGTCCTTACTTCCTCTGTGACTTTTCCCTCAGCCCAGTAAAAATTGTGGACAGGGAGGAGGGTGAAGTGGTATTTCTATGTGGTAAGCTAACAGCTTGCACCATACAACAACTGCATAACTCAATCTCCTTAGGAAGGTGGGAACTTTTTTATTCAGAAGCTGACAACCTCCTCGATTCCTTGATCACTAGTGTTGAGGTCTCCTAATAGACTAAATAAAATGAATCATCAATTCATTTGATCAAATATCGGTGTCTTCTTCATGAGATAAATCCTGCCTTGTAGTCCGTTAACCTTAATAACATCTCTATTACATGCAAAGGTGGTCAGATGAATCATGCTCTAAACTTCACTATCTTGATTACATCTTTGGTGACCGTAAAGGGAGCTTAAAGGTACTAATTCAGATGGAAATGCTACTACTGGGTGAGATGAATCATCTTTAATAACTTGAAACATCTCCTCATTGTTACGTAATTATGTTGGTACATTATGAAATTTACCACTAACTAGATCAAGAAATTTCTAAGCAACACTGTTCAATAGTTAATCTGTGCTGTTTCTTTTCATTGCAGACCCTTATGTCAAAGTGAACCTGTACCATGCTAAGAAGAGAATTTCTAAAAAGAAAACCCACGTGAAGAAATGCACCCCTAATGCAGTGTTCAATGAATTGTTTGTCTTTGACATTCCTTGTGATGGCCTTGATGATATCAGCATTGAATTTTTGGTCTTAGATTCAGATAGGGGGTCAAGGAATGAGGTCATTGGCCGGTTAACCTTGGGATGCTCAGCTGAAGGAACAGGTGGAGAGCACTGGAAAGAAATCTGTGAATATCCTAGGAGACAAATTGCCAAATGGCATATGTTGTGTGATGGTTAGCAGCTTAGAGAGGGGTTGGAATTTGAAGAACTATGTACATCCATAGGCAAGGAGCAATTTTCTTTCTTTATTATGTGTAACTACAAGACTTTTTTTAGGGGGGAGTGGGAGAATAAAAACTGGATTGAATTTTCAGACCAGAAGGTAACTAAATTTTCACAGCAAATAAAGGAATTTCTGTTTTATTAGTTTTTAAAATAATTGGATCAGATTTGTATTCTTCTGGAGTTTAAATAGCCTGAAACTTCTGAAACACTATAAACTTATTAAAACTAGACTATGTTTTATGAAAAAGTCACTGGAAACCTTATTAGTACTGCTATACAGAAGATAACCTCATTAAAATATATCTCTAGATCTTAAAAATCCACCTGTGGCTTATTGGGGAAGGGGCTGTCTGTAAAAGCCATGTGGAATGAGGATACATAGGAGGGGAATTCCTTCTTCCCCACCATCAAAAACCTTCTTTTATGAAAATTCAATCATCATTTTTAAGTTTTTGTTAGTTATACTTTGATCATCCCAAAGACTTACGAGACTTTCAGCAATTTGCTTTACATATCACATCATGTGCAACTAGTTGTTTTTTGTGTGGAAATACTCTATAATTACTGGATTTTTTTAACATATA